CCGCCCGGGTGTGGCCACTGGTTGGCCACAGCGTGGGCCATCTGAAACTCAGCGCCTTTTATCACCTGGTCTTGGGAGCCGTACACCCTCGCTTCCGGTGTGTTCTATTGGTTGTGGCGGTCACAGGGGTCTGCCTGGGGCTCCAAGGGCATGAATGGACCTCACCTCTCCATGGTGGATGCCATGGTCATGTTGTGAGAAGCCCATGGGGGTTGAGTGATGGTGCTGTATCCATCTTTGGAGAACACGGTCTCTCCTATGTCATTTCCAATATTGTGCTATTACCAAAACATGTTGCTGGGTATTAAAAAAACTATTTATGTTTATCCACTTGAAAGGCAGTGACAGAGGCAGGGAGGGGGCGAGAGAGAAAGAGAGAAAGAACCTCCCATCCTTTCATCTGCTGGTTCACTCCCCAAATGCCCATGACAGCTGGGGCTCAGCCAGGCTGAAGCCAGGAGCCAGGAACAACATCCGGGTCTCTCACGCGGGTGGCAGGGAGCAGGGACCTGGATCTGAAAGCGGGACTTGAACGGGCACTCCCATGTGGGCTCAGGCATCCTGAGCAGTAGCTTAGCCTGCTGCTGAACCTCTACTCTCTATCGATTTCTCATTCTTTTATTTTATTAGAGCAACAGAAAATGGACTGGGGTGGGGGGTCTACGATGGTGGGAGCCTGTGCAAAGACCGCGCAGGCTTGCCCTGCACTGGGCTGCTTGCCCATAAGCTTCGGACTCCCGTGAACTTAGACCTGACTCTCAGCAATGAGCCCTCCTCCCACGCAGCAGCTTGTCCAGGGCTTCTGGCTTCTCTTGACCGCTTGCCCGGGAGCATTGCTCGATGCATCTCAACGTGCAAAGTAGTGGTTTCACTTCTGTTCACCCCGACCGCGTGAGTGCCGGGAACTCAGGTCCTTGAGAAATTCCTCAATTTAGTCTGGACATTCTAGCCGCCTTTCTTTCTGTCCCTTTGAAACACGTGAGTTCCTGTGACTAGAAACACAGGCCATCATTACTGGTAAGAGACCTGAAGAGACAGAGCGCAAGAGCCCAATCTTGCGTCATAGTTCACTGCGGGCTGTTGCAACTCAGCCTGAATCCCATTTCCCAGGTTGGAGTGTATTCCATTTGCTTGTTTGTTGTTTGTTTTTCAGGATTCATTTAATTGAAAGAGTTAGAGAAGACAGAGAGAGAGAAAGACACACACACACACACACACACACACACACACAGAGGGAGATCTCCCATTACTGGTTCACTCCTCCGATGGCTGCAATGTCAGAGCCAGGAACTCAGTCCAGGTCTCCCAAGTGGGTAGGAGGGTGGCAGAGACCCCAGGACTTGAGCCGCCACCTGCTACCTCCTAGGATGCTCCCTGGCAGGCAGCCACGCGGGAGGCAGAGCCAGGACTGGAATCCAGGCGCTCTGCTGTGGGCTGCGGGCACCCCAAGCAGCGACTTCACTGTTGCACCAAGTACCACCAAATTCCTGGGAACTTCCGGTTGGCAGTGTTCCCAATGCCCTGGGGCTTGGGCCCCTCAGGGAGCCTCAGCCTGGACAAAGCCTCCCCTCTCTGGGGCTGGGCTCCATAGCCCCCCACCCCCCACCCCCAGCAAGTCCTGAGGATGAGCAGGAGCGAGAGAAGGAACGCTGGCCGAGCCTGCTGGCGCACAGAGGCAGCCGAGAACTTCTTCCCAGAGGCAGGAGACAGCAATAAACACTGGGGAACAGAGCCAGCCGCTGAGACTCCCTGCCATTGCTTAGCCATTCACCATATTCAAAGCCTTACGTCACTGGACCTATGAATGGACCGGGCTGTGACGGTCATCCCAGTCAATGAATGAGGAAGGAAGGGAGTGAAGTCACAGGAGGTGACAGAGCCAAGACTCACACCTGTGACCTCGGCTCCCAAGTCTGCTTGCTGCTTCCCCCGCGGTGTGCTCTGGGGTCAGCCGCTGGGCCTGTCTGTGCCTGCCTGTCCTCCTCCTACAGGGAGGATGGACTGAGCCAGTTCATACAGAAGGGAGGGAGGGAGGCAGGCAGGGAGTCCCTCTTCCCCCCAGAGTTCTTTTGGATGGGCCTAGGAACCTCATTAATGCAAGAGCTGATTAACAAGAAAGCCCCACGTAACAGGGCCAGCGTTGTGGTTAGGCTGCTGCCTGCAAAGCCAGCAACCCATATGGGAGTGCTGGGTCTCGTGCCAGCTGCCCCGCCCCAATCCAGCTCCCTGCTAATGCACCTGGAAGGCAGCAGGTGAGGGCCCAGGTGTTTGGATCCCTGTACCCACATGGGAGACTTAATGGAGTTCCTGGCTTCTGGCTTCGGCCTGGACCAGCTGTGTTTTTAGCACGCATCGGGGAGGCCAGGCTGGAGCCCCAGGCTGCTGGCTTCAGCCTTATCCAGCCCTGGCTGTTGCGGGCATTTGGAGAGTGAAGCAGTGGGTGCAAGGTCTCTGTATCTCTGCCTTCCAGATAAAATGGGGAAGGAGGAAAAGGAGAAGAGGAGCAGCAGTGGGCTAAGCAGGCGGAGGCCAGTGTCAGGTGGGGGCCCCAGGAGGAGGGTGCCCTCACCCCTACCCTGGCCTTCAACCTGCCGGGGTCACTGCTTCGGTGGGCGCACATCCCAGGGCGGGCAGGGGAGGAAAGGGATAATGGGGGGGGTTAAGGCGTCCTGGATGCCCTTGGGGGAGTCCATGGTCCAGCTGTAAGATGGGGCTATGGCTGTGGGAGCCCCTCAGTCCCCTTCGAATGCCAGGCCCTGTGGCCTGTGTGTGCAGGTACCCGGTTAGTGGCCAGCGTGTACTCAAAGGCATTAAGTGGTGGCTCGTCAGAGGATGAGGGGCTAGAGAGATGGAGTTCGTCAATTTGCATGGTGTGGGTCCTCACGCTAGAGCCCATTTCTACACGGAGCAAGCCCCGGCGCCCAGCCGCAAGAGACGATAAAGGTGTAGAGTCATATCTGGTCCTAGGGGCAGGAAAGGTGTCCCTGCCCTGGGCACCTGGCACCAGCCACCTCATATGTGTGCCCGCAGGCTGACTGCAAGCCAGGCGCGATCTCTCAGATGTTTGCTCTGTGCTAAGCTCTGGGAGACCGAGATGAGGGCAGGGGGTGGGGGCAGGCACACATGACGCTTCCATGACTTCCCGCTCCCAGTGACGGCACCGGGATGGCCTTGTCGTGTCTGTCCATCTCTGCTCAAGGTTACTGAGGACCCGGCATGGGCCAGGCAGTGGGAACAGCAGTGAACCCAGGGCCCCGGGCTTGCCCTCCAGGCACCTGAGTATGGACTCAGAGAAAAAATGAATTCGGCAGGCCATATGATGTCAGTGTGGCTCTAACAGGAGGTGGCAGTGCTGAGTGGCCAGGGGCGCTGTGAGGCAGGTGCACAGGAGCCTCTCCACGGAGGGCCACAGACGCAGACACCTGAGTGAAGCCAGGGAGCCGCGTGCAGATTTCTGGGGGTCGCGAGCTTCCAGCCTGGAGGTGCGGCAGGTGCAAAGGCCCTGACGTGGGAGTGTGCTGAGGGAGCCGAGTGAGATGAGGCAAGAGAAAAGGGTGAGCTCTGAGACAGTCGGGGCCAGGCGGCCCGCGAGGAGGGAGGTACAGGAGGGACTAATAACCTCGGGACCACCTGAGAACTGGAAGCCTGGTTTCAGACCTGCAAGGATCTGTGTGCAGAATGACCACCAGAGGGCGCGCGCGGGCGGCTCGGTGAGGCCTGAGCTGGGCCGGGGCGGGTGGCGGGGGGAGGGGGTGGGCTGCCCTCGGAGGTGTCTTGAGGTCAGAGCAAGCAAGTGTGCTGGAACAGACCCACCCTGACCCCACCCAGCCCCGGGGGCAGGCACCTGCGTGCGTGAGGAGCACAGCGTTGGGAGCTCCCCTTGGCCAAGGCGGTGCCTTCCCACCTCCTCTCCTGTGGTGTTCACCCCAAGCCAGCCCCGCAGGGACTGGGAAATTGGCTCTGAGAAGGTCAGTGATGTGCCCACAGTTCCACAGCAAGATTTTGAGCTAGGTTTTTTTTTTTTTCTTTATTTGAAAGTCAGAGTTACACAGAGAGAGGAGAGGGGGAGAGAGAGAGAGAGAGAGAGAGGTCTTCCATCTGATGGTTCACTCCCCAATTGGCCCCAACAACCGGAACTACGCCTATCCAAAACCAGGAGCCAGGAGCCTCCTCCAGGTCTCCCACGTGGGTGCAGGGGCCCAAGGACTTGGGCCATCTTCTACTGCTTCCACAGGCCATAGCAGGGAAATGGATCGGAAATGGAGCAGCCGGGACTAGAACCAGTGCCCATATGGGATGCTGGCGCTTCAGGCCAGGGTGTTAACCTGCTGAGCCACAGCACTAGCCCCTTGAGCTAGTTTTTAAAAAATATTTATTTGAAAGAGTTGGGGGGGGGTCTTCCATCTATTGGTTCACTCCCCAGCTGGCTGAAGCCAGCAGCCAGGTGCTTCATCCGGGTCTCCCACATGGGTGGCCCCACACCCGGAACTGAGGGCTGGAGAACCCCACTCAGTTCTTCTTGGTTTGGGGGTGTCCTGTTTCCTGTGACCCCCCAAGGTTGCCCCACCCAGAATGTGAGGGATGAGGGAGGATCTGTCTCTGCTGGGCGGGGAGTCCTGCCTGTACAGGTGCCAGTCACAGCAGGCCCCTCCTCCTGGGCCAGGGGAACTCAGGAAGCAGCCTTGGGGGGACGCAGGACAGCAGGGCCGGTCAGCCCCTTCAGGCAGGCAGGCACCACCAGGCGGCTCCATGTGTCCTGGGCCTGAGTGACAGCAGACAGAGCCAGTGCCACAAGCGCCCCCAGCTTCATCCAGTGCCCTTCAGGGGCCACCAAGGCCGGAAGAGCCAGGGCTGTGAAACAGCAGAGGGGGTGCCCTCCCGAGCCTCGGAAAACATCAGGAAACTGCCTGCACATAGTAGGTGCTCTGGTGGGCGTTGTTAGCTCTGGAATGTCCTCGGCCTCTTCCCTGTCAGAGGCCCTCATTTCCTTCCTCCTTCAGGCTGTGAGTGCCACCCCCGCTGGAATGTCTGAAGATAAGAAAAAGCTGAGCACACCCTAGCCAGGAGCAGAAGGCACTTGGAGCCCACGTGGTCCGGCTGCTTCTGATAAGTGAGTCCCGCTGCCCAGACCCGCCGGTGACGCCACTCTGAACCTGACCCCTGCTCACGCGCACTGCTCAGCGTGCACCGTGAGTCGCTCGGGGCGCTGATCTGTAGCTGGCCCATGCTAGAAGGGACCCGGGTGTCCTGCAGCTGCTCAGTGGCTCTACAAAGCGGCACACTGCACGCAGGGCGTGCTACTCAGCCAGGGAGAGGGGTCAGCCGGCCACACGAGCAGCGGCGGAGCAGCCGCAAATCCACAGTGCTGAGAGGGAGCTGGGAAATGGTCCCATTTCCGCGATATCTGGGAACGGCAAAGTTATCCGCGGGGAGAAAAAACCGGTGGGTGCCCGAGGCGCAGGGTGGGCACAGCGTGGGAACCCAGTGGGGACTGTGGCAGAGCTCCTAGAAGCAGACCCTTTTGCCAAAGCTGAAAGGGGTGGGCTTTGTTGTCTGCAAATTACACCTCGATGGGGCTGGCGGGGACTACGATCGATTCTGCTTTGTATCCGAGACACGTGGTAGATACAAACGGAGACGGGCAGCACACGGGGAGGAACTGCAATAGCCGCAAGTGTCCACTGGGCAGCCACCCTGCGGCCACCAGCAGTCCGGAGTGCTGGACCTTTGCGAGGTGAGGAAGCCTGGCCCCGAGCAGTGGAGAGTCGTGCCCGGGGCAACACGGCCAGTAATGGCAGAGCTGGGAGGGCTGTGACCCAGCTGGGTGGCGGTCTGGACCCACTCACCACTGGGCAAGACTGCCTCCCCTCGCCCCGCCCCTGCGTGCCAGCTGGGGCCACACAGGGGTTTGGATCTGGTGGGGTGACCTTGGACAGACCATGGGCCTCGCAGGGCTTAACCTTCCTTATCCACCAAAGCAGACATCGAACAAAACACTGTTTCCGGACAGAATGCCAGGACAGGTGCCTCTCCAGGGCACTGTGGCAGGGACATGAGCTGAATGCTCCGGCGCCTCCCCAGCCAGGACGGGGTGGGGAACATGGGCCCCACTCCCTGGCCGGCTGCGTGCTGCCGGCTCAGTGGCCTGGAGCCCCAGGGAGGAGGCCCCAGCTTCCGAGCTGAGCCTGCATGTCCCCAGTCACGGGAGGACAGCATTTTTGCTCTTGTGACTATAGAAATAATGCATGGCATTTGAAAAGTGCAGCTACCACGGAGGCATCTGAAGACAGCGGGCTTGAGGGGCACTTGGTAGCCCTCTGGAGGAAGAGTATGAAAGACCCGGCAGCCTGGGCCTCGCCTGGCTCGGTGGTCAGGGACACAGCCTCGTGTCCGCCCTGGCGGGAGCCCACAACCAAACCACTCACCTGGAAGAGGTGGCGAGCCGGCACCTACTGCTGCTGTGGCTAAGAACGAAAGGGGACAGGCCCCTCCTGCGCCTCCAGCACGCAGTGGCAGTCCCGCGGTGGCTGCTTCCCTGGCCATCCTGCCCTTGCCCACATGGCGGGTACTGCCCGCCCTGGGCAGCATCGCGACACCTGAGGCCTGTCGCGTGGTTCCCACAGCACACGTCCGGCAGAGCTTACCTGGTGAGCACTCTTCTGGGGTCCTCCTGGGGACCTGTCACCACAGTGTGCAGTGAGTGAGTGCCCTCACGTGGGAGCCTTGTTGCTCTGGGCTACTTCCTGTAACCCAAGGTCAAGGACATGCAGGTGGCATGCTGGGCACACGTGGTTGGGGGGCATGTGGTTAGAGCGTGCGGTGTTCAGGCCTCTGCCCTCGGATCCCTTCCTTCTGTCTCATTCACAGTTTAACCCCCAACCAGCCACAGGGCCACGGCTCCCATGCATCTGCCTGCAGCCCAGGGCCGTTCCCCGAGCCCAGACGCCCGTCTGCTTGCTGTGGCCATGAGTGGCCCCAGAGCTGTTTCGCGGCCACATCACAGCCAGTGCTTGCAGCTGCCCACGAGGCTCCTTCTGCCTTCCCATTTGCCCTAGCAGTGACTCCTGCCTCGGCGTCCCCTCCCCCACGGTCACTCTCTATGGGAAACCTGTCCTCACCACCCCCAGAGTAAATCCAGAACCCCCTTCCTTCTCACCCCCTTCACTGCTCCCTCCCTGGCGCGAGTCACCACCCGCCCACCTGCATGGTTCTTACCTCAGCCACCTCGGCCCTGACAGTGTCCATCCACGGCAGCAGGGGGCGCCTGAGAGCCTGGGAAAGGCCTCGTGTCTGCCTCCCCTACCCATCCCACCTTTGGGATGACCTCACAGCTTCTCCTGTCACTCTGCTCCAGCCGCAGGATTCTTTACAGGCGCCAGGAAGGCTCCCACCTCAGGACCTTTGCACTGGCTGTGGCCACCACCTGGAATGCTCTTCCCTCAGATACCTGCATTGCCCCCCCCCCCCAATTCTCCACTGGAGCTGTTTTCCAACCATCAGCTTCTCAGTGCGGCCGACCTTAATCTTCCTGTCGAAGCTCCTGCCTCTCTCTCCCCCCCTCTCTCTCACACACACCGTCTTCCCCCAACTCCTTCTTGTTTGTTTCCTGCCCAGTTGCCCTGCTTTGCTTGGAATGGGGGTGGTTCTTGGGACTTGAGACTTTAAAACTGGGACCGTCCAGCGTGGCGGGTGGGAGGCCTGGGCGCTGGCTGGTGGCCTTCCTTGCTGGAACACAAGCTCCACGAGGGCAGGACCTGCGGCAGCCCCGGGACAGGAACGCAGGGGCTCTTGTCCAGAGAGGCTTGGCCGGGCTTCTCAAACAACCCCACGGTGGGCTGCGGCCTCGGCTGGGGGGCAGGGGCCCAGGCTTGGCCCAGTTCTCCTTCTTCCAGGGCAGCCAGCCTGCTGGGCACAGCTGAGGGTGTCCCCGCCCCTCCCATGGTCTCTCAGGAAGACGCAGCAGCGGGGCTAGGCATGCCCCAGAGAGCGCCTGCCCTCCCCTCTTCTGCCTTTTCCCTCCTGTCTCTCGCCCTTTGCAATTCTCTTTCCTCCCCTTTGTTCTCCTCGCTCTTCTCCCTCTCTGCCCTGTTGTTCCACTCCCTGACTGGGGCCTCTGGGCTACGACTCAGTCCTGGCTGTGTGACCCCGAGTCGCTCACTGCGCCTCTCTGAGCCTGTGTCCTCTTGATGGTGAAATGAGACAACACACGGAGAACACGCGGCATTGGCCCCACAGATGCTCTATTATTATTATTATTATTATTATTTAAAGATTTATTTATTTGAAAGGCAGAGTTACAGAGAGGCAGAGTCAGAGAGAGAGAGGTCTTCCATCCACTGGTTCACTCCCCAATTAGCTGCAATGGCCAGAGCTGGGCTGATCTGAAGCCAGGAGCCAGGAGCTTCTTCCAGGTTTCCCATGCAGGTGCAGGGGCCCAAGGACTTGGGCCATCCTCCACTGCTCTCCCAGGCCATAGCAGAGAGCTGGATCGGAAATGGAGCAGCCAGGACTTGGATCAGCGCCCATATGCGATGCCGGCACTGCAGGCGGCAGCTTTACCTACTATGTCATGGTGCCGGCCCTTATCATTATTGTTGTTTACTGTGACTGCTGGCTCATTATTGTTGTTGTTTACTGTGACTGCTGGCTCCGGCACCGCACAGGGGTTCAGCCCCTTCTTTGCCTCAGGTAACCCAGGTTGCATGTTAGGCTTGTGCAGCTACTTCTAGAAAATTCTCCCACTTCCCCATCCCAGACCAATTAAGTCAGAAATCCTTGGAGGGGACCAACATACCATGTGGTTTGCTTTTTTAACCTTATAACCCCACACACCACACCGCAACCATTAAAAACTTTTTAAAAGTATTTATTTGTTTGTTTGAGAGATAGAGAGAGAGGGAAGTTCACTCCCCCAAAATTGCAATGGCTCCTGACTAGGACTGAAGCCAGGAGCCTGGAACTCCATCCGGGTCTCCTGTGTGGGTGCCAGGGACCCAAGTGCTTGTGGCCCGCCGTCTGCTGCCTCCCAGGGTGCACACTAGAGGAAGCTGGAATTGGGAGCAGGGCCAGGACTTGACCCCAAACTCTGTGACATGCCATGCAGGCCCCTTAACTGGCCGTTCTACCGCTGGGCCCCATGCCTGTTGCAATACTTTGTAAAAGCTTCCCAGGGGGCGCTAGTGAGCAGCCCCAGTTGAGAACCTGTTAGTACCAGGTTACTTAGGACTTTCTCAGTTCTAGCACTGGGTGTTCTATTGGCATAGGAAGCCCCTCTACCCAGGCAAACTGGGGCACTGGTTTGTTCCCTACCCAGAGGAACAGACCCATAGCTTCTGATCCCATCCCAGGCCCTGGGGCCTGGCCACTGCGGAAAGGAATCGGTTATGTGACTTGGACCGGTGGGCCACAGGGTCGTCCCAGGGCAGGAGGCAGGCTCTGAGTGGACAGCAGAGGGCAGAGAGCAAGTGCTGGTGGTTCAGTCGCACAGGTCCCCGGCATCAGGGCCCCCGGGGCCCCAGCCCTGGGCGGCCCGCTCCATGGCCTTCACCCAACGGTCTCGCAGCTCCTCCGAGTCAGCCTTGAAGGTGTACAGCTGGCCTGACTGCTGCAGCTGGAAAAGCCGGGGGTCCCCCTGGGGCCCAGCGGTCACCTGGTAGCCCAGCAGCGGGATGGAGGTGTGAGCCCGCGTGTCCTGGGGGTGAAATGGAGGTGTGAGTACACGTGTCCTGGGGGTGGAGGTGTGAGTACACGTGTCCTGGGGGTGGAGGTGTGAGTACACGTGTCCTGGGGGGTGCAGGTGTGAGCCCGCGTGTCCTGGGGGGTGGAGGTGTGAGTACACGTGTCCTGGGGGGTGGAGGTGTGAGCACATGTGTCCTGGGGGTGGAGGTGTGAGTACACGTGTCCTGGGGGGTGGAGGTGTGAGCACACGTGTCCTGGGGGGTGGAGGTGTGAGTACACGTGTCCTGGGGGGTGGAGGTGTGAGTACACGTGTCCTGGGGGGTGGAGGTGTGAGCACACGTGTCCTGGGGGGTGGAGGTGTGAGTACACGTGTCCTGGGGGGTGGGGTGTGAGCACGTGTGTCCTGGGGGGTGGAGGTGTGAGTACACGTGTCCTGGGGGGAAGAAATGGAGGTGTGAGCACACGTGTCGTGGGGGGTGGGGTGTGAGCACGTGTGTCCTGGGGGGTGGAGGTGTGAGTACACGTGTCCTGGGGGGCAGAAATGGAGGTGAGAGCACGCGTGTCCTGGGGGGTGGAGGTGTGAGTACATGTGTCCTGGGGGGCAGAAATGGAGGTGTGAGCACACGTGTCCTGGGGGGAAGAAATGGAGGTGAGAGCACACGTGTCCTGGGTGGGGGTGGGTAGAGGTGTGAGCACACGTGTCCTGGGGGGTGGGGTGTGAACACGCGTGTCGGGGGGGGCGGAGGAGTGACCGACCACACACATCCTGGGTCAGGGAGCACGCCCCGCCGCCCCTCCACTTCAGCCCCACCTGCCCTGGCATTTTTGAAGGAAACAAGAGCACACAGCTGCTCACCTCCTGCTCCCCTCTGGTGGAGGGGGCCAGCAGGGGGTGCAGAGGGAGAGGAGAGAAGTGGCCGCGCCTGAGGGCAGAGCAGCCTGGGCTCCTGACTTGTCGGGACAGCCAAGGCCAGGGCGGGGCAGGCGGTGGCCGTACCTGGGGGGCCGCGTAGACGTAGAGCACCAGGGGGTCGTCCTGGGGGATCACGCACCAGCCCCGGGAGCTGCTCCTGCCCCACTTGTCCCCGCTCAGCTGCAGGAAGCTGCACATCAGACTCTGGCCGGACCCTGCCGAAGATCCTTTCTGAAAGCAGAAAGAGGGACTGGGCGTGGCCTGGGGGCTTCCCTGTGACCGCTCATCTGCAGCAAGGGGCCTACTTGTCCCCGGGGCTCAGAGACACCCCATCACAGAGCTGCGGCCCAGCCTCAGCCAGCCTGACCCTGTACCGGGCAGGGAGGACCTGCGTGGAACAGAACCGGGGCTCGGGAAGGGGCTGACTGTCCCCAGGAGCAGGCTGTGCTGCCCGGTGGTCAGGAAGGGCTTGGCAGGTTGGGGAGGACTGGAAAAGACAAATGTCCCCCCACGGGAACCTGGGAGCTGACCCCGCCCCTTGGGCAGCGGGGAGGCCCACCTAGCCTTTATGAGGGAGGGGCACCTTGCCTTTGTGGCACAAAGCTGGACATAGCAGGGACCCCGCAGGGGTGGGGTGCAGCTCAGCGATGCCCCAAGGGCACAGATCGGGTTCCTAACTTGCTGTGTGTCTTGGGCAAGTCACTTCTCTGGGCCTGGGTCGCCGTGGGCCAGGCTAGCTGGCCTCTGTAGTCCCTTCTGTAGAGACTGGGGTCTCAGATCTCCTGACCCATCTGTGACACGGGCCGGGTGACACCAGCTCTCTTCACCCACTGGGACTGCAGACATGGGGAGTGGACAGGACGTGTCCAGAGTGGCCCTGCTCTTCCTGGATGGAGCACCCAGCCATCCGCGGAGGGAGGGGCCCTGGGGGTCCGTGTGAGGGCCTCTGGCTTCTCCCTCAGCATTCGGGAAGGGCTGCGGGGACGGGGCCTCACCTCCAGGATGCCTGGCCGCCTGTCCTTGTTGCCAGGGAGTACGCAGCCCGTGAGGAACGCGTAGCAGTCGAGGCACACGCGGCTGGGCCTGTTCGCGTTGTACTTGAGCTCGGCCCGGTACTCGGAGCACCTGGCGCACACCACCTGGGGGCGGCGACGGAGGCCCATGGGGGGCTGGCTGTGTCTGGGCTTTGGCCAGGAGGTGTGGGCGTGAGAGCAACCAGAGGCTGGGGGCGGGGGTGGAATGCAAGCCCCGGAAGGCACAGAGCCCTCCGCGGAAAGGTTCCCGCAGGCCAGGCTCTGGGCTCTGGTGCTGCCCGCCGCGAGCGCCCTCACCACGCTCCCCTTCTGCCAGGGTGCCTGGGGGTCGCAGAAACTCGCCCTACGTCTGACTGACTCACTTTCCCCAATGCCCTCCCCTGCCATGTCCCCTGCCTCCAGGACCCCGCACATCAGGATGGCCCAGTGCGCAGCGCCCGCTGCCTGCGCCTCTGCCACAGTCCCGCAAGCTTTGCGCCCGGAGAGCCGAGGTCGTCCATGGGGAGGTGGGGTGTAGGTTCTCTTACCAGCAAGACCCCCCCACACCCCGGAGTAGCCATAGGCGAGACCCACCCCAGGAACCCCGCGGACCGAGCTGGGGACAGAGGCGTCTGGAGACCGGAGAGCGGCGGGAAACGCAGCGAGAGAAGGGGTGCCGGGTGCAGGGGGCGTCCTCGTGCGGTACCTGCCCCACCCTCGCGAAGATTCCCACTTGGGCACGCGAGGGACAGAAGCTGGGCGCCGGAGCCACGGAAAGCGAGGGAAGCCCCTGCGCCCCACACAGCCCCAGTTGGGGGCACCGCTGCCTGGGGGAGCTGAGATCCTAAGTGGCTTACTATAATGTGTATTTCCTCCTCCACTTAGAAAATGTCAACTCTAGAGACAAGTTGAAAAAAAATGCAATGAGATCCCCCACCCAAACTCACCAAATGTTAACATTCTGCCACCTTCTCTCTCTCCATCTCTCTCTCTCTCTCTCTCTGTCTCCCTCCCTCTCTCTTTCTCTCTCTACACACACATGGCTATTTCAAAAAAGTTTGTAGGAAAATGGAGTTAAAAGATAAAATCATTGTGGGGCAAAAATGGTTGGAATGCGTCCATCTAGTGTCATCATCGTGTGCATTTTCCGTGAGTTCGTGGACCGCTCCTCGTATCTTCTGAGTACAAATGACAGTCACCCTGCTGCCGCGTCCCCGGAGATGTCGCCGGCATCTCCTGAGGACAAGGACTGTCTCCTGCCCCTCCACAGTGTCACGGTCACATGCGGGAAGTTTATCATGGACACGACCTTATTATCTACGGACCACTCCACATCAGCTGTCCCTCGGTGGCTTCGGGAATGACCTTGGTAGCTTCTGAGCCACTCCCCCCACCTAGGACTTTGCAGCAAGGGGGCATTTTATTTAGCCGTCAGAGTATCTTCTGACATGAGCCTCGAGGGACACAAGGGTGTCTTACCCTTTGCACCTCTTGTATTGATCCACCGGTTTAAGTAACCTTCCAGGAGCAAGTGTGCATTGATGCAACTCTTTACGGGCGTGAATCGCCCGGAACAGCCGCTAATTCCCGGAGGCTTTCCACTTAGCATGGGAAGCAGCTCACCCTGCGCACCTGAATGCAGGTACAGCCCAAGTCTGAGCTCCACTCGCAGCCACATCTCCCTGACTGGCCCCAACCTGTCACCTGGCCTCCGCCTGGTCCCTGGAGGCTGCCTCACTGATGACTGAGCTTGCAAAGGGCTTCTCTGATCGCAGAGTAAATTGGGGAGGGGGCGGGCAGTGTCAGCAGAGCAGCCCAAGTGCAGCAGGTGCCTGAGGAGCAGAGCAAGACCTGCAAGGGTTGGGGGTGAGCAACAGGGCCACCAGGAGCCAGCGTGCTGAGGCCACGCCAGCGCAGGAGGGGGCAGCTAGCCCAGAGAGGACCATGGGGGGTGGCAGGGCCAAGGCCTGGAAGGAACTGGACACCCCTTCCTAAACTAGGGTCTGGAGCCCAGGGGACGGGGCAACAGGAGCAGGTGGGTGAACAGGGTCTGCCATGGGGGGTGGGGCGCCGTCTGTGAAATGGGAGCGTACTGTGAGGGCGCAATGGGCCAGCCAGGAGGGAGGGCTGAGGCCCGGGCGGGGCAGGTGGAGGCCAAGGCGAATGGGTGTAGGCGGGGCGGGGGCAGCAGGCGCGGCGGGAGCACTCACGTAGCCGCACGCGCGGCAGTGGTGGCGCCGGCGCGTGAGGGCGTTGAAGGGCTCCCGGCAGCGCATGCACATGGTGACCATCTTGTCGCGGACCCACTGCGGCGCCCGGAGGCCCAGCTCCTCGGACTGCAGCTGTGGAGTGAGCACAGGTTGAGCGGGGCGTGGCCGGCCCTCCGAGGCCCATCTGCTGCCACGGGGGTCCTGTGCGCCCGGCTCCCTGGGTCTCCCCTGGGATCTGAGGGAGGCTCCCCATCTTACAGGGGGAGGAAACGGGGCGGAGAGGTGAGGGGACGCAGCAGAGTCCCCCACAAAGCACAGGTCAGAGCTGGACCTGAACCCAGGCCGCCGAGTCTTCCGCGGCTCATCTACTTTCACGCCCCAAGGCTGCCCCCGGGGGTGCTGCGCAGGGGGGCTCCCGAGGAAACTTCTGGGCATGGGGAGGCTTTGCCCCCATCCTCACCCCCTCCCCACACACAGTCCCTTCAACACCCCTGGTGACTGCTGCTTCCCGCCCCCGCGAGCTGGCCTGGAAAGGGAGCCGGCTGTGCTGAGGGCGGGACAGGCTCCGTGCACCTGCGGCTCCTGGAGGCCGCCTTCGGGCCCCTGCACCGCCGCCTTGAAGGTTTCATTGCGCTTTTCTACTTGGTCGATGGCTGCTTGGCAGGCCTGGAAGGGCGGGAGGGAAGTGGGTGGGTGGCGGCAGAGGTTTTTGCTCGTCGGGGTCGGCACATTCAACAGACATGCCTGAGTTCTGAGCCCGCGTGGGCTGACGACAGGTGTGCACACCGGGGCTCAGCCAGGGTAAGTGGCCCGTCCCAGGCTGCCCCGCCCCCGGGGCCCAGCACAGAACAACTCCTTAGGAAGAGCCGGGAGCCTGCGGGCACGCGCAGGTATGAGAGTGCACACGCCCACGCCCCTGCACCCACGCACCCACCCTCCTGCTGCCTCAGCCCCAGTGGGTGAGGAGCGGAGCCCTGGGGCCCTGGGGCCTCCCCGTACCTGTAGCCAGGAAATCATTTCCTCCTGGGACCTGCGCAAAAGCAGCTCGGGTGAGGAGCAGCAGGCCGCTCCCGGGCCCCCGCCTCTCCAGGGCCGCTCCCTGGCCTTACCGCGCCTGTAGCTCCAGGGTGCGCTGCTTCCCGGACACCAGGAAGGAGTGGGGGAACTCGGGATCCATCAGCGCCCGCACCTGCAGGGCAGGTCACGGCCGCCGTGAGCTCGGGCTCCGTGCTGCACCTGGCCTGTTCACTGCCTCCCGGGTCCTGCTTTTTGTTTTGTAAAGATTTACTTATTTGAAAGGCAGAGCAACAGAGAGAGAGAGAGAGAGAGAGAGAGAGAGAGAGAGAGAGAGACAGGTCTTCCATCCACTGGTTCACTCCCCAGATGGCTGCAATGGCTGAGGTTAGACCAGGAGCTCCATCCCCCTCTCCCTGCCTCCCAGGCGCATTAGCTGGGAGCTGGATTGGAAGCGGAGCAGCAGGGACTGAACTGGCTCCCGGATGGGATGCCGGCGTCACAAGTGGCGGCTCAGCTGGCTGTGCCAACAGCACCCTTCCTGGTCCTCCTGAACCAGGTACCTGTGGCTGGGCGCGCCTGGAGTACACGGAACTCAACAGTAGCACCGGGGGAGGTGGCACACGGTGCCTCACAGAGCTCACCAGAAATGAAACCCCATCTCAAAACTCCACGACTGTATGAGGACTCACTGGGGCCTTTTTTTGGCTTAAAGTGTCCGTGACACAAAGCAAAAAAAGAAAAAAATCTTAAGAGCACTCGGGAGGCAGTGGAGGCTCAGAGACGGCAAGAGGCCCGCCTGGGTCACACAGCGCCCAACTCAGGGCTGCAGCCCCCAGGCGGAAGAGCATGGACTTCCACCGCCCCCGCAGCGGCCTGTGCCCAGACCTTTCCCAGGCCCCGCGTGCACAGAGACCTCGAAGGGAACCCGGGGCAGACACAGCCTCCCAGCACCTGCGGGGAGGGCTGGGGCCGGGGCTTGGTTGCCGCGGAGCCCGCGGACTCCTGAGCCTCTCTGCTGCCCCCTGGTGGCGGGGAGGCCTCTGTCAAGGCGGCCCCGAGGGCGCGGTGCTGTACAAAGCGGGGGTGTGGGGAGCTGTGTGTGAGCTGTGGGCCGGGGGCAAAGCGGGGCCAGAGCCCAGGCCCGGGAAGGGTGGGAAGGGGTGGGGAATGCCGCTCTCCTGGCCAGGCCTGCTGCCGGGGCGCACGCCGCCGGGAGAGAACAGGCTTCGACTGTGGGGCGGAGGGCGGGACTCCCTGGGTCAGGGAGAGGGCAGAGAAGTGGGAATCTCCAGGGCTCAAGTCCAGAAATAGGGAGACAGGTGTGCTTGTGATGGAAAAGGAGGAACTAGGGGAGCCCCTGCACGAGGGTCCACGAGAGGCGCCGGCTCCCCACCACGCGTCCAGCTCTGCCCCGCCCAGTGTCGGCCACTCTGGTAGGTCTGGGTCAGTCCAGCCCCTTCCTCTTCCACACAGGGCCTTTGTGCTAATTAGAAAAGAAGACCCTTTCTCAAAACCCTATACTGACATCTGTTGGCAAACGCATAATATTCAGATTCCCTGGAAACGAGATTTGACTGCCATCTGCCGGACAAGGCTCCCTATGAAGGTATCAGTATTCTACAGCTGCTGCAGATGGCACCTCGTAGATGAGATATCCTTGTGCAGTGCACAACCTGCACAGCTGTGCATGGAGTTCCTGGGTATGTGTGCCCACACTCTCTCCTTCTTCCCAGCCTAGTTCTGAGCTCAGTGACAGTCAGCAGCAGAAAACCAGGCCCTCCTGGCACCCAGGAAGGAGGAGGCCTGAGGGTGGGGTGGGGTGGAGGGGTCAGGGCCAGTGGTCAAAGACCAAACCTGCCTCCAAACTTTAGATTCAGAAAATGGTTCTTGCGTGGGTGGACAGCTCTGCACCTGCCAAACCTGTGCCATCCAGCAGAGGGTGCTGTGCAGCCACGGGAGACAGACAGGTGCCAGGAACCAGGTGCCCGTGGGGCCCACACGTCCTTAACACACCCCAAGCATGTGCCGCCTGGAGGCCCTCGCTTTACCACTGTGCACTGCTCTGCTGTTTGTCCTGTCTGTCCATCCCTGGCTCTTTCCCAGTGCCTCTGCCTACATCTGCCTTTCCCAGCCTCCCTCATCAGGGGCCCTGCAGACAGGCCAGCATGTGCCCTGGGCCCTGGGACTTTCTGGCCACTTCAGGACAGTCAGCTACCCCTGGTGGGGGCCACACTCCTGAGAGGCCTCAGCTCAGGCGTGGGGGCTGGGCCGTGTCCTCCCATTGGCCTTTGTCACCCTCAGCCTGCATCTAACCCCAGGCGACCCCAGTCAGCAGTGGGGGCCGTGCCCTCCTGCTGGGTCTCCCAGGGGCCAGAGCAGGGGGTGTCCTGGCCCAGCTCCAGCCTGCAGCTCCCTCCTGGGAGGCTGGGGGCAGGGTGATGAGGATGGGGGATGGGGGAGGAAGAGCCAAGATGGGCCTGGTCGGATGTCAGCTGCCCCCGGCCCCGGCCCCTGGACGCCGCGCCAGGACGTCGTGGACCTGTCCAAGCAGATGGCAAGAAGGTCTTTCTGGAGCAAGCGTTGTGACACAGGTGGTGAGGTGGCCACCCGTGACGCCAGCCTCCCACTTCGAACAGGCCTGCTGGAATCCCGGCTGCCCTGCCTCCCAGCCCTGCTGCGGCCTGGGAAGGCGCAATGATGGCTCAAGTGCTTGGGCCATGGCACCCGCATGGGAGACCTGCATGGGGCTCCTGGCTCCCGGCTTCAGCCTGGCCCAGCCCTGGCTGCTGCGGCCATCTGGGGAGTGAACCAGCAGACGGAAGGTCTCTCTCTGTCTCTGTCTCTCCCTCCCACTCTCTGTAACTCTGACTTTCAAATAAATAAAATGAATCTTTAAAATAAAAAGAAGGTTCTTCTGCTACGGCTCTGCTACACACAAAGCCGAGCGCAGCTCTGTCCCCAAAGGGAGGCAGCAGCCTTGGCAGGAGGCCATGCAGCGTGGTGATTGACACGGGGTGGGGGGGTGGTGGAGGAGGGTTCCGTCACACCCGGGGCCCCCAGCAAGTCACTTAACCTAGAATGGTCTGCTAGGGCCTTGCATCTCACAAGTTTAGGAAAAAATTATTTCTTTGAGAAGCAGAGAGAGGAGGGCCCCCACCCGCTGATTCATGCCCCAAATGCCCTCAGTGCTGGGACTGGACCCGAGCCAAAGCTGGTAACTCCATCCGGGTCTCCCACGGGGTGCAGAACCCTTGCCTGAGCCATCAACAGGGCCCCCGAGGTCTACACTGGCAGGAAACAGACCCAGGAACACTGATGTGGGACGTGGTGTCTTACCTGCTAGGTCGCACCCGTTCCCAGAGTTTCTCCTTTTTTTTTTTTTTTTTTAATAGGATTTATTTATCCATTTGGAAGGAAGAAACCGAGAGATCTTCCACGTGCTGGTTCATTCCCCAACATCGGTCTGAGCCGGTCCAAAGCCGAAGGCCAGGAGCTCCAGCCAGGTCTCCCACGTGGGTGGCGGGGACCCAAGCATGCGGGCCACCCTCTGCTGCCTTCCCAGGCGCATCACTGGGGAGCTGGCTGGGAAGCAGAGCAGCCGGGACTCGAACCGGCGCTCTGACGTGGGATGCCGGCCTCGCAGGCTGTGCCACAACACCAGCCCCTTGCTCCCCCACTTTTAAAAATGGGGTAACTCTCGGGACAGTCACACGCAGGCAAACTGTGCCAGTCCTCGTCTGCAGCAGCTGACAACTGACAACTGTCAGCAGAGCCCTGGCAGAGCGAATCACGGAGCGCGGAGCGGAGCAGGGCAGGGCGCTGTGCGGCCGGCGGGGAACCAGCAGGCTCCAGGTGCCGAGAGGCAGCCGCCTGGGACGAGTGCGGCGAGCGGCGTGCAGAGCTGCTGGGGGCCTGCCAGGGTTCCTGTCAGCTCCCCTGCACCCACGTGGGAGACCCAGAAGAAGCTCCTGGCTCCTGACTTTGGATCGGCACAGCTCCAGTTGTTGCAGCCTTCTGGGGAGTGAACCAGCAGATGGAAGACCTCTCTCTCTCTCTCTCCCTCTGCCTCTCTGTAACTCTGCCTTTCAAATAAACAAATAAATCTTTAAAATAAGCAAATAAACCTAAACCCAGTTCCTTGAGCCCTCACACTGCCCCCTGGGGTCTGCCCTGGCAGGGAGCTGGAGTCAGGCGCTGGAGCCGGGTTCAAAGTCAGGTTCCCCCACAAAGGACATGGGGGTCCTCACTGCTCGGCTGAATACCTGACCCTGGACAGATTTTAAAGTGAGAAAATTTTAAAAATGCTTTTAACAGGTAAGAAATACAGGGCAATTCTAGCGCTGATATGCTAATCTGACGGGAGATAAAGGCCCTGCCCACAGTGGCTGCCCGGGCAGCAGGCAGGGGAACGACTGCTGTCACTGCTGGCGACCCATACCTGCCTGCAGCCGAGCTGACCCCAGAGCCCCTTCTTGCCGAAAGTGTGGTCTGTGGCCCTGCGGCGTCAGCCCCAACGGGGAGCCAGGGAGCAGGGCAGGTCCTTGGGCCGGCCCCAGCCAGGCCTGCTGGCCCAGAATCACCAGGCAACCAGACGCAGTGAGGGGAGGGGGGGCAGTTTGCGAAGCAGTGGTGCAGATGGCCCCGCGTGAGGCCAAAGGGGGCGTGCACGGTCCCAAAGCCCCGGCCAGGCTGAAGGGAACCCAAGGACCCTTCTTCAAGTCTTCCCAGGGCCTGGCAGCCTCTGTCCTCTGATTGAGAGCCCAGTCTGCACCCCGCTGCTCCTCCCCGCGCCTGGTCCCACCCGTGGGGAGGAGCCCCATGGCGACAGGGGGCCCCCTCACCTTCATCCCGGCCACATCGATGCGGGTCCTCACTTGGAAGTGGGCGCCCACCTGGATGACCTTGGGCACGCAGTAGAGCAGCATGTTGTTGAACTGTGGGAGACCCGGGCACAGGCCTAAGTGTAGTGCTGGGGCTGGGTGGGCGTGGCCTCCCCCAGAGGGGGCGGAGCACCATGGAGCTCCTCCCTCCACAGGCCAGCTCCCTGAATGGCAGGGGTGATGAGGGAGGAGATGAAGAAGGGTTTGCTAACTCCCAATCCCATGAGGCCAGGCACAAAGGGCCACCCGACCTGTGGGTATCGAGGGACCATATCAGACCTCAGAAACTCACGGGGCCTTTCCTGCAGGGGCTCAGGGCACCAGGGACTTAGAAATTATAGCTCCTTCCCCCAGACCTCTGGGCAAGACCACCCTTCCAGATCTCAGGAGATCTCTGACTTCTTCAGTGCCAGTTCTTCCCAGGAGCTAACCTAATTCCCTCCTGCTGTGCACTCGCAGAGCACAGCTCAATGCCACAGGCTCTGGAGCCAGCCAGACTGGGCTCCTAGGGCGTGCCTGGGAAACCCGTGGGTTGGTATTGCCTGGGGCCTGGAGGCCGCACCTGGAAGCCACGGCAGAGGACAGAGGGGCCCAGGGCATCCCCCCCAGTACCCCCTACCAAGAAAAGGTAGCGCTCCATGGGGTCATTGCGGCGGAAGGAGATCTTGAGGACGGGACCCTCACGGAGCAGGGCATTGGAGGGGTCCACTATGTCGTCCTCAAGGCCCAGGCGCTGGTACACCTCCCACAGGTCCTGCAGCCGCTCCTGGGGACAGGCCACACCCTCAGCCAAGGCCGGCCTGGAAGCTTCGCCTCGTGGGACAGGTGTGCTGTGGGAGGCTGAGACCCCGGGAGGGGGCCGTGGTGCCTGCTGCCCCCAACCCCGCCTGGGGCCAGCTGCTCACCATCTCGGCGATGGCCGCGTTGGAGTGCTGAGCCGCCGAGAAGATCATATCGAGAGCCTCTGCAGAGGGGCGTGGCTAGAGTCAGCCCCTGGAAGCCCAGGCTGGGGGCCGGGGCAGGAGGTCCACGGGGGCTTAACCAAGTGGCTGCCAGCACCTGGGGCCTGGGGAGCTGGGCTGCCCGTGCTGGAGACCGGAAGCCACCGAGAAGTAGCAAATGGGCGTGTGGCCCCTGTGGCACCTGCCGCTCCCTGAACCAAGCTAGACCCAGAGGGTGCTATGGAAAGCACGCACGCATCGGCATCATACAGGCCTGGGTTCGAATCCCAACTGTGTGACCTCAAGCAAGTCACCTAACCTCTCTGGCCTTTAGTGATTTTGTCTGTGAAAAAAAAAATTGGCTAATGGCATGGATGAGGTCGATGTCATGGCAATGACTACTGGTGATGCCTGGTGGCCATTGTGAGCGTTTGACAAGCTCTCAGTGACAGCATAGGGGTGGCCTGGCCCTCCCCGGCCCCCAGGGGTGTCCTCACTCTGGGCGTCAGCCCGGTCCGGGGCCTGGGCCGGGAGCTTCTGCACGTAGTCTTTGAGCAGCAGCTCGTAGCGGGGGATTCTCTGCACGGGCTCCAGCATGTGGTGCTGCAGGCTCAGGTTGCCCGAGGCCTCGCTGCTCTTGGGGAGGAAGGGGGAGCAGTTGGAAGCAAGAGCTGGGGGGGCAGGGGAGGCTCAGGGGGCCTGAGCGAGAAGCTAGGCCTGGGAGGAGACCCCCAGGGTCCCTCGGCCCTCACCTGGATGCGGGCGATCACCTCCTGGAAGGGCGGAGACTTGTCGGTCCAGGCGGCCAGCAGCTCCGCCGCTCGCTCAAAGTTCTTGACGTACTCACTGTACATCTTGAGGAACGGGGCCAGTTTCTGGATCACGTCGCCAATGCGGGGGGTGGCCGCCCTGCAGGAGGGACGCCCAGGGACTGCCCTCAGCCTGGTGCCCGCCTCTCTCAACTTCACGCAGGGCCCGGGTGTGCATCCCCCACCCTGACCCTGCAAGCCAGAAATCCTGGAAACAGCTTTTCCACTGCACTGCTGGGCATAGGCACGGAGCAGGACTGTCGCCTTCTCCTGCGTGTGCCTCACCCCCCTTAGACTGTAAGCCCCTTGAGGGCGGACGCTGCTCTCGGCCACCAATTGGCTTCCCCCCCAGGCCCGGTGCAGAGTGGTTTGGTCACCACGTGATGCTCCACTATGCAGTTCACCCAGCAACCACGCGCCAGACTCGCCGCACCGCACCTCTCTCCATCTTGTTCTCACAGCCCTGCAGGTGGAACAGGTGCCAGCCCACCTTGGAGACAGGGAACTGGGGGCCTGCAGGGGAGCATGGAGCCAGCAACAGCTAGGGTAGGGCCTGAGGCCACTCACTGAACTCAGGAGCCGTGAGGAGCCGCCACTCTGGAGTTCGCCCACCTGAGCTGGAGCCACCTGGCCTCTCACTACCACCATTTTCTCACCCAAAAAATGGGAATGAAAGCAGCCGATCTCAGAAGTTTGATGCTGGTTTTTGTTTTTTTAAACATTATTATGAGGGTTGGCTGGCACTGTGGTCCAGCAGGTTAGGCTACAGCCTCCAAAATGCCGAGTCCCGGCAGCTCCACTTCCCATCCAGCTCCCTGCTAATGCACCTGGGAAAAACAGCAGACAATGGCCCAAGTGCTTAAGCCCCTGCCATGTAGGAAACCCGGATGGAGTTTCAGGCTCCTACTTTCAGCCTGGCCCAGCCCTGGCCATTGCAACAATTTGGGGAGTGAACTAACAGATGGAAGATTTCTCTCTGTCTCTCTCTCTTTCTCTGTTGATCTGTTTTCCAAATAAATAAAATAAATCTACAAAAAATGATTGCGGACATTCCAAGAAAACATAATGTGAAATGAATATGGCAGTGGACCCTGGCATCTTTCACTGGGTTTAATAATTATTTTTATTTTTAAATTATTTATTTATTTATTTATTTATTGACAGGCAGAGTGGACAGTGAGAGAGAGAGAGAGAGAGAGGAAGGTCTTGCTTTGCCGTTGGTTCACCCTCCAATGGCTGCCGCGGCCAGCGCGCTGCGGCCGGCGCACCGTGCTGATCCAAAGCCAGGAGCCAGGTGCTTTTCCTGGTCTCCCATGGGGTGCAGGGCCCAAGGACCTAGGCCATCCTCCACTGCACTCCCAGGCCACAGCAGAGAGCTGGCCTGGGAGAGGGGCACCAGGGACAGAATCCAGCGCCCTGACCGGGACTAGAACCTGGTGTGCCAGCGCCGCAAGGCGGAGGATTAGCCTAGTGAGCCGCAGTGCCGGCCAGGATTTAATAATTATTAACATTCTGCTTGACCAAAGAGTTTTCAATAACATCCCAGAAACCACAGCATTTCTTTGGCAAAACAGATAAAAATACATAAAGCAAGGAACTTCACTACTGAACATATTAGTGGTCCTCTCTGAAAACAAATTGGGGTTCTCGTGTAACCAAGAGGCCATCGGTCCTGGCTGGTGCCCTCATCACGCCCCACTTCTGCCTCTGCCCTCACACGCCCACCCCTGCCTCCCTCTCTGTCTGTGCCTCTCTGGCCACATTTCCCCTTTCTGCCTAGGCAAACCAGTCAGTGGGTTCTTTGCTCGCTCTAATCCAGTGTGACCTCATCTTAGCCTATTACGTTTATGCAGACTCTGTCCAAACAGGGTCACTTCAAACCCATAGGACCGGTGTCGTTGTAAGAAGCAGAAGTTCTGAGAGAGACACATACAGGGAGAAGCTGTGTGAGCGTGAAGGCAGAGCGTGGGAGAAGCTTCTAGAAGCTGAGGACCACCAAAGACAGCTAGCAACCTCCAGAGGCTAGAGAGAGGCCTGCAACACCACCCCTCCCGCCCCCGCCCCAGTCTCCAGGAGCCGCCAGACCTGCTGACACCTTGGTCTTGGGCCTCCTGCCTCCAGGGCGGCGACACTCTGGCTGCGGGGGGGGGGTGGGGGTGGGGGTGGGGGGAGCATCCCTGCTCCCCCTTGATGGGAGTGGGTTTTCCATGTCTGGACCCCTGGCTCTCTCTGAGGGTAACCATGAGCATTTAGTTCCAGGAGCCCCCAGTGCTTCTGCCACACACCCTGCCCCCAAGGGGCTCAGCTGCTCCTGGGGAGGCAACAGGGCCTAGGGCTCCCTCCTGTGGACTCCTAGGCTCAGTGGATGCTGACGCTCCAGTGAGTGAATGGGGTACAGTTCAAGGCCAGGCATGTAGGACGCCCCCAGTCAGCCCTGGCTGTGTCCCCCCACCCCCAGGACACACCCACCTGTGCACACGGCCTATCAGGAGCCCGGTCTCACTGTGTGGAAGGACTGAGCCAGGGAGGAGAGTGCCAAGGACTGAGCGGGGCGGCAGGCCAGCTCTGTGCCCGAGGGCTGCCCCGCCCGGGGTGGGGGACGCTCCCGGAGGACCTCACCAGTCGTCCAGGCGCCGTTGCAGCTCAGGGAGGAAGAACTGCGCGTGGAACTGGTGGATGGAGGAGATGTTGGAGAAGATGAGCCTGACCACGTCCTCAGGGAAGGCCTTGCTGCTGCGGGCCTCCCTCAGCAACTCCTGGAAGAACACCTGCAGCCGCCCGGCCGGGTCACCCAGAGCCCGAGGGGGAGCCACCCCACACCCGCCCGGGGCCAGGGACCCCTTCAGCTGACCGAACGCCTCCACCTCCTGAATCTCCCAGCATCCTCTCAACACCCCGGGCAAAGCTGGGGAGGGAAGATTACATCGTGACCACTTTACAGATGGACAGATCGAGGCCCAGAGACACAGGGACTTGGCCAGAACCTGGCAGCTGCTGGGTGTCAGCAAGGAGCCCGTGGTGGGTCTGCCGAGCTCTCGCAATTGGTGGCCAGGGCTCCCTGTGCTGACTTGCAAGGATGTAGGCCCCAGCCTTCAGTTCCTGGGAAAGTGAGGCTCTAGACACGACACGAGGAGGATTCTGGGAAGGACCGCCCGGTGGGCACACTACTGTGCCTGGGGCTGACCCGGGCACTAAGAGGCTAAGTCCTGATTTTGCCCCAGACCCCAGCGAGTGGGGTTCTAGGTCCAAGGCTTCTTAGAGTAAGTCCGAGAATCCTAACTTTCGGTTTTGCGGAGGTAGGTGGGAAGACAGAGCAGGGGTGGGGTGAGAAGACCCAGGTGCTAGGGCCCCGCAGAGGTGTCCTGGTCACCCGCCTGGTCCAGCAGGTGCAGGCGTGCCACGTATGCCTGCTCCGTCTCCACTAGCTCCTGGACGATCCTCTTCTCAGGCTCCTGCAAGACGGTGGGGGTGGGATGCAGCTTTAGGTCCTCTGGCAGGGACTGCATGTCTACCTCCTGGTATCCACGCCCCCTGTGGCGCATCTGGGAGGGCCCTGGGGCAGAGTGAGGCTGTGCCCATTCTGGGCTTGACCCTTAGGAAGCCTGGCAGCTTCTGTCTACGCCCTGTTGGGAGCGGTGAACCACTGGGTCAAGAGGTCTGGCCGCCCTGATGCAGGCGGGGACCTTGGTCAGAGACCACATGGGAGAAACAGGGGATTGCAGAGGTAGAGTGCCAGGCTCCTGGCCACTTCCTGCTGAGCCCAGCCTCCCGAGTGCCTGCCTGGGTCCCAGGCATGTGAGCTGAGCTATCGTGGGCATCCCAGCCATACCTGCAATCTGGCTGCCGTCATGGGAGAGGCCCTGCTAGGCTGAGATGTGCCCCCCACCAAATCCACACACTGATGTCCTCATGGAGGTTGACTGGGGTCGCAGTGGCTGGGCCAAAAACACACAGGGCAACAGAGCCCCAGGTGCACAGGGAGAGGCCACAGCGAGAGGATGGCAATTGCAAGCTGGGCACAGAGGCATCGGAGTAACCCAACCTGCCAACACCGTGACCCCTGTCTCGCAGCCCCAGAACTGTGTGAAAATGGAGCTCCCTTGTCTAAGCCACAGCATGCCTGGGCTTTTGCCACAGTACCAAGCTGCCTCCCAGCTAAGCCAGGAGCGCACGTGTCCGGCCCCATCCCCCCGCAGCCCAGCAGAACTGGGAGGCATAACCGACTGCTGTGTGGGAGAGGGGGCAATGTGTGAAGCAGCAATTGCCCACCAGAACACACTTGTGGTCCTCATGCCCATTCTACAGAAGGAGAAACTGAGGCACACAGCAGGCAGAGGGGCTGGGCTATGAAGCTGCTGCACAGTATCCTGCCTCCTGACCCCTGGGCTGGACACAGGCAGGAACTGACGCCCACAGCAGGTGCGCTCCAAGGGCAGGGACATCAGCACTGAGCTCTCTGGTTCCAGCATGGCCCCGTGGCCTCCTGCGGTGGGTATGCTGAGGCAGCGCCCGGGCGGGCCACCAGGTTCACAAGATGGAGCTGCTGTGTGTGCGGCCTTGAACCAGCGCCTTTCCCATGCCGGGAGCCTCCTCCAGGGAGGAGCATGAGATCAGGCAGCAGGACTCGGCCACCCAGCAGCGGTGAGGAGGGGACACGCGAGGTCAGCCCTCTGCTCGCACACAGGGAGAACCTGTTGGCCCTGGCTCAGGGGAGGTCAGGGGAGAACCCCTGCCCCCAGCTGCTCCCTACCTGCGTCTCTGGCCCAGGGCAGGTCCCAGGCTGGCAGGATTTCCTCCAGGCCCCGCCAGACAGCTTGTTCTTCAGGGAGCTCAGGTACCTCCTGCTGACCGTCCTGGGCAGTGCCGCCGGGGCCACCTCCACATCCGGCTTCTCCCACGGCCCTGGGAGGGGTGGAGGCCTGCCCCCAGGGCAGTGAGGCACCTCTTCCTGCTGGTGGGCTTCGGGCCCTGCTCCTGGGGTCCTGAGGAGAGCAGAGCAGACCGGGGGCTTCCTTGTCTGGAGAGCAGGGAGGGCAGCTGCGGGTCCCGGGGGGCACCCGAGGGCCTGGCCCTCTGCGGGATCTCACTCCGTCAGTCTCTCACTTCCCTCCCAGCACGGCCCCGGAGGGAACTCCAGTGTTCACAATGAGTCAATGGGGACCTCACTGCACTCTCTGGGGAACCACTTACTTCCCTGTTTAAGATGCAGCTTCGTCCAGGAAGCCCGTCTTCCACACACACAGGTTTTTGTGTGGCTCCCCCAGATCACCACCGCCTTGGATCCCCATCCCTCGTTTTAGCTTCTGCATTAGCAACCGATACATGGAGGGAAGATGGGAGCCATGGAATAATCTAAAGTGAGGGCAGAGCTGCCAAAGCTGTTAGCCCAGGGAGGGGGCTCCCTACCCTGCATGGGGCCTGCAGGCCAGTTAGAGCCTCCGGAAAACAGAGGCCGCCATCCTGCCTGCTGACCCCTGAGCTCGACACAGGCAGAAACTGGGCACACACAGCAGGGAGACCAGGCTCAGTCTAGGAACAGGAAAACTAGCACTCAGACCTCTAGTTCTAGCTTGGTGCCATCGCTGCGTCCCATGCACAGGCTGCACCCCACTCCCTGTGGTGTGGAAGGCTTGCAGTGTCAGCCCAGTGTAGGTATCCTGTGGGAAATGGGGGGACAGCTACAAAAGCTCCAAAGCTCCGTGGGAGCGTTATCCATTGCCCCCACCTTGCAGCTAAGCAAACAGGTGCAGGGAGAATAAGTATTCTGCACTGTGGCACACCGGATAAAGCTACTGCCTTCAGTGCTCGCATCCCATGTGGGCGCCGGTTCAAGTCCCAGTTGCTCCACTTCCAATTCAGCTCTCTGCTATGGCCTGGGAAAGCAGTAGAAGATGGCCCAAGTGCTTGGACCCCTGCACCCATGTGGAAGACCCAGAAGAAGCTTCTGGCTCCTGGCTTCGGATTGGTCCAGCTCTGGCCGTTGCAGCTGTTTTGGGAGTGAACCAATGGGTGGAAGACCTTTCTCTCTATGTGTGTCTGTAACTCTGGCTCTCACATAAATAAATAAATAAATAAATATTTTTTTTAAAAAAAAGCATTCTGCTGCTTGGATGCTTCCAAATCCACCTAATTGGTTCTCTAGCCTTCCCCCTAGACTGTCAGTCTCCATCCGAGTGCAGGAGAAACACATCCATCCATGGAGTCAAAGGGACCTGCCCCGAGTCACACAGTGGGCTCCATGGGAGGGAGAATGTGGGCATCCAGGCCCAGCCACCACTCCTGGCTCTCCCAGACCTCCCTGCTGTTCCCATGCCCAGGGCTTCAGCGTGCAGCGTGCAGTGTGTGAAAATAGCTGGCCCTTGGACTTCAACTTCTGCGTTTCTGGACACGTGCCCCGGCCAGCTTGTTTCCTCTTCCTGTCTTGGTTTCAGATCAGCTAAGGCCCTGGAGAGCTCACGAGGGAGCCAGGCCAAGGCCTCCAGCACACGGCCCCCCACTCAGTCAGGGCTGCCACTCTGCCCACTCTAAACCCATGCTGACGCCACCCAGGTCCAATGGCTGCCCACCTTTGCCAGGGGTGTTGCCCGGGCAGAGCGTGGCATAAAAGGGGAGGCTCCACAGATGCCGGCCCCTCATCTGGGGAGCTGAGTCAGGTGGCGATGGCTCCTGACACCCAAGGGGGCAGTGGGTCACAAAGGCCACGCCTAAGAGCTGTCCTTGGTGCTGAAAAGGATGAGCTTGGCAAAGACCCTGGGAGAGGCGGGGTGAAGTCATGCAGCTCAGGAAGCCAAAACACTCTTTCAGATACACATCGATGCCACCTCCACCTTGACGCCCCCAGGAGGCTTTGCCTGCCCTGAGTGCTCTCAACACAGCACCTGCCCACCACACACACACATACATCTGCTGTCTGTGAACTTGCATCACGGCTAGCATGAGCTTAGCATCCAAGTCAGAAAGCTTGCCCAGTTTCCTTGGCAGTCCCTCTCCGGTGCTGTGCTGTGCTGGCCACACTGTTCAGGGCCTGTGCATGCCCTCCTCTAGCTGCAGGAGTGCTCATGGCTGCCAGGTTGCCGGCTGAGCTCCTCTCTGGGAATTACTTTCTCTGCACATGGAGATGCAACCACCCAGCCCTTTGCCCTGGACAACGCAGGGGCACCGCAACCCCAGAGCCCCTGGCTCAGCCTGAGGCTTCCTAGCAAGTGCGTTGCAGTTCAGCTTCTCCCCCCACCTACCCTGCTTCCCTCCCCCTGCACGTGCAGTTCCCAAAAGCTCTTCCCAGTAAGCCTCCTGGGGCAAATCTCTCAGAATCTATTTCCCCAGAACTGAGCTGAGAACCGAGAACTACCCGGGCTGGTCCCTCACACAGTTCCAGCTTCAGACACACCTGTGGCACAGTAACCCCCACAGCCTGGTCCAGCCTTGCTGCTGCAGACGGGAGCCCCAGCTCTACCCCCCGGAGCACCTCAAGCACGTGGCTCCTCCACCTCTCTAGGTCCGCACTTCCTCATCTCTGAGATGGGAGTGCAAATCGAGTCCAGCCCTGTTTGGCTGTTGGATGCCATGAACTTGGAAGAGTGGTCTGCGGGTCATGCCCATGCCTCCTGGTTTGCCCCTTCCCACCCGTTTCCCCTGTGGCCCCTTCCTCTGGATGGCATCTACTCTCAGTTTGAGTTGGGCGCTGGCTTGAGTGGTAGATTGCATGGTTAGCTTGCCCACGGGGCATCAGTGCTTGGTGAGTCTTAGCCGGCATT